GCCACTGCACTCCAGTCTGGGTGACAGAGTAAGACTCCAACTCAAAAAAAAAAAAAGACAGTCTGACTCCAGGGGGCCCAGGGACAAGTCTTGCTTCCTTGGGCAGAAGGAGCTCTGGGGCCTTCTGTGCAGCCCCACACTCTGATGTCCACCCACACGGCCCTTCCTTCCTGGGCCCCTCACTGAGCCTGGAGACCACCCTGCCGAGGTAGCCCTTCCCTGATGCTCACGTGTGGGGCGCCTGCAATATCCCCAGGAGGCCTTCCTGCGGCACGGAGCAGCGACCAGGCACAGCTCAGCCACCCCTGGGAAGGAGGCCCACCAGCTGGCCAGGCCCCAGAGAGCACCCCAGGACCCCCCAGGCAGGGGTCTCCTGATTAAGCATGCTTCCTGCCTGCACGTCCCAGAGATCCTCCCAGGGCCCCCACTCCGGGAAGCACCCCAGGACGGACCTGGTCCTGCAGGCCGAAGCCCACCGTAAGCCAGGGCTTGCTGAGGCGCTCTGGGGGAGTGGGGGCAGGAGCCAAGGGGCTCGGCCTTGAGGCCGCCGGTGCACCGAGCCCCAGGCACCCTCCCATTGCAGGCCCCGCGGTGGGCACTGCTGTCAGCCCCTGGCACCAGCACCGCCCAACCTGCCTGTGCCCGGGCGAGCCCCTCACCCGACATGCGGTCAACACTGCACATCCTCTCCAGCTTCTTACGGCGGCCAGAGGCCTCGGGCATGGGTGGCGGGTCCAGCCCGAAGGCCCGAGGGGAGGGGCCGGGAGCCAGCTGGGCACATCCACTCTCCTTGGAGCCCTGGCGGCTGCCCGCCCAGCTGCTCTGGCAGGACCTGCTGACGTCCGTGTGGCTGCTGCCCGGGCTGGCGCGCAGGGGCGGGCTGTGGTGGTGAGGGTGCCGCTCCCGCGGCCGCCGCCCCTTCACCACGGCCAGCTCGATGGCCTCGGCCCCAGGGCTGGGCAGCAGGGCAGGCTCCCCGGAGATGGTGTACACGCGGGGCTGCGGGCCCTCGCCCGCCGGCTTCCTGCTGACGGCCTCCTCGGAGAGGCTGCCCTCGTAGCAGCCATTGGAGACGACGGAGAGGCGGCGCTTGTTCTGGGGGGCCGGCTGCATCTCGGGGGACCCGTCGTGGCCAGAGTAGGCGTCGGCCAGCAGGCGGTCTGGGGAGGCGCCAGGCGAGTCCTCAGCCCGAGACCCTGCCCTCCCATCCGGCAGCA